AAGGAAGTACCCCGAGAAAACTCACTTTCACTGGTCAGGCGCCGAATAATCTACCTGACCAGTGCCCAAAGCTGAAAAAGAAATTTCTTTCAGTTACTTGGTGAGTGGTTTATGTGTTTTCTAGGCTGTTTATGTAATTGAATGGTGATATGTATGTGTTCCAAGTTTCTGGTGTTAGAGCTAATTGGTTGAACTGTTTGGTCTGAGTGTTCCTATTTACGGCTATTCTGTAAAATTTCGTGGCAAGTTGTGTAAAGCGATCTTTGATCGTTGGTAACTTGGTAATGCTGTGTAGGTATTCTTGAGGTGTGTTCAGATGAGTTAGTCAACCGGTATCATATCAGGTACTCTGTGGAAATTGTTGTTTGTGTGTTTAACCTGGCTATAAATTCCAAGTCATAAGACGAAGTCCAAAAACACGGTAAATGAGAAAGAATTGTCCCCAAGATGGGCATATTCCATACCATCTGTAAACAGTTCTCAGTGCTTAGAGAAATATTCTCAGTAGATGATATACATTTAATGTTATGATGTCTGTGTTAATGCCGACATTAGAGTGTAACTGCAGCTTGAGCAAATACTGTTTTGAGGATTTATAATTATTATCTTTATAAAACAGCATTTTCTGTTTAACTAACATTACTTTCTCTACGCGCTTTGTTTATAAGGTCGATATCGGAGCTTCATAATAGGGTCCAATGTTTGACCAAAATTTATGAAGCTTTGTAAATATGAGTAGTAAATATATTGTAAACAAATTTTAAACGTCTAACTGTATTTGTACTTGCTATTCATGTATGTAGTCCACAAACATCAATAAAACATTCTCCTGTTTTGACTGATCAAAGTATCACTTATGGAGTTTATGATCTCCGCATCTAGGTAAAGAACATACACACCTTTAAATTGATAACAATTATCCCGAATTTTGACTATTTTTGATGTGAGTATTGTCAGAAAAAAATCAGCTTTTAGTCATGGAATAAATTACGAGTAGGTGTTCATATTAGATATCGATGTTGAGAATAAAAGCTTCTGTAGTAATCATATCATATCCACGTAGGTGTTCATATTAGATATCGATGTTCAGAATAAAAGCTCCTGTAGTAATCATATCATACCCACGTAGGTATCGATATCTAATATGAACATTCAGAATAAAAGCTCCTGTGGTAATCATATCATACCCGAGTAGGTGTTTATATTAGATATCGATGTTCAGAATAAAAGCTCCTGTAGTAATAATATCATACCCACGTAGGAGAATTAGCTATGGTATCGTTCCTTTGAGTGTTAGCGAGTATTAAGGATCAGACTTAAAGACTTAAGAGCAAGATCATATTTATATACATTCACCTATTTTATTGTAATGTGTAAATTTCATTGTATTGTTAAGGTAGATACGTAATAAACTTAATATTTAATCACAACCTGTTCTAAATTTTAAATAATAACTATTTTTAATTACTCTATTATTACAAATTAAGATATAGCATGGTTTATTTACTCATACTTTTAGCTCCCCCCCCCCCACCCAATGTTGCCCGCATATGATGAGTATGTTATTTGTAAAGGCTAACGTTTTAAATGTATATGAATATAAAGTTACACGTTTTACAGCAACAAATAATAATTAAATTTCATACGAAAGTTTTATTCGTCTGTCCTTTTAACGGCGAATCTACAGTGATATCCTTCGAAGTTTCTTGTGTTGAAGTTTTCGATGAGTCACTCTTCTGATCGATGCCTCTGAATGGAACTTGCAAATACTTGACATCTATTATATATATATATAAAATATCGTTCGTTAACTACTGTACATTAGTAGACTTCAGCATAGAAACTAAGTGTTCCTTTCCAGAAAGTCTAATAAAGACAAATACCAAATCTTATTAAACATGGGGATTAGAAGATGTGCTTGAACTCTTAGTATCTACATGGGGATTAGAAGATGTGCTTGACCTCTTAGTATCACCATGGTGATTAGAAGATGTGCCTGACCTCTTAGTATCTACATGTGGATTAGAAGATGTGCCTGACCTCTTAGTATCTACATGGGGATTAGAAGATGTGCCTGACCTCTTAGTATCACTATGGTGATTAGAAGATGTGCCTGACCTTTTAATATCTACATGGGGATTAGAAGATGTGCCTATCCTCTTAATATCTAAATGGGGATTAGAAGATGTGCCTGACCTCTTAATATCTACATGGGGATTAGAATATGTCCCTGACCTCTTAATATCTACATGGGTATTAGAAGATGTGTTTGACCTCTTAATATATATATGGGGATTAGAAGATGTGCTTGACCTCTTAGTATTTACATGGGGATTAGAAGATGTGCTTGAACTCTTAGTATCTACATGAGGATTAGAAGATGTGCCTGACCTCTTAATATCTACAAGGGGATTAGAAGATGTGCCTGACCTCTTAATATCTACATGGGGACTAGAAGATGTGCCTGACCTCTTAATATCTAAATGGGGATTAGAAGATGTGCTTGACCTCTTAATATCCACATGGGGATTAGAATATGTCCCTGACCTCTTAATATCTAGATGGGTATTAGAAGATGTCCCTGACCTCTTAATATATACATGGGGATTAGAAGATGTGCTTGACCTCTTAGTATCTACATGGGGATTAGAAGATGTGCTTGACCTCTTAATATCTACATGGGTATTAGAAGATGTGTTTGACCTCTTAGTATCTACATGGAGATTAGAAGATGTGCCTGACCTCTTAATATATACATGGGGATTAGAAGATGTGCTTGACCTCTTAATATCTACATGGGGACTAGAAGATGTGTCTGACCTCTTAATATCTACAAGGGGATTAGAAGATGTGCCTGACCTCTTAATATCTCTGATAAATTGTAAATTTATAATCAAACCTAAACCAGTGTTTGGACATTACTGAATGTAATACACAAATAACTTGAGTAAAACCAAGTTAACATATAACTGCGATTTATTTACGGTCATTATAAGTTAACTATTTTATTTTTTTTTACAGTAAACGCTTCACACGCATATTTATATAAAATACAACTTAAAAGTTTGCTTAGCTTATTTTAAAAGTTACTATTGAAAATAAAAATGAAGTTGAAACAGGTAAGATAATTGAAACTGATGTGAAGTAATCTTGTTGATCATATTACCTGGTATAACATCAGGACATTTTCCTTCAACTGAATCTTTCGAATTACCTTCTGCTGGAGTAGAGTCCTTCAATGTACAGTTTCTATATAAAAAAAAAAAACGAAAGTGGGAAAGCCGTTACGTAAAATCAAACTGAGAAGGTACATCAGTGCCAAACTTAATATCGCATGGTCTTACTTTCGCTTATTTCAACGTATATATATATATATATATACACAACGTAAAGGATGAAGAAAATTGAATAAATGAAAACTCTTAGTACACGAACATATTGATTTTCATAATGCTTTATGAATGTATTTATTTCAATGGCAGTGCCAGGCGTGGCCCAAAAGGTAGCGTGTAAGATTGCGGATCATAGGGTAGAGAGTTCGAGATCTGATGCTTCTGTAAACTGCTCTGAATTTTCAGCTGAAGGCGCGTTATAAGAGTGACAGTCTATCCCATTATTCGATTCAAATATCCAGGCAAAACACATTTAGGTAACTTAACTTTAGTTCTAAATTAGTGACAGCTAAACCTGAGACCTAGGCGTCTCTGACCAGATTGTTCATCCCACATGCACATTCAAACAAAAAAAATTCAAGTTTCATTAATAACTACTTTATATTTTTAACATATGTCTTATCGTCTAAACATAATTTTTTTTTTTCTTGCCATTAAGCTTCTTATCAGAATGTCCCTAACAAAGGATTCTAGAATTATCTATGAGTTCAAGCTCTTAGGCAAGGAACTTTCAAAACGCCAACCTTTATCTGGTGTAGTAGCTCGAGCGTCAAGATCGATAAATAATTTTAATAAGCCATCGTGTATCACATGGAACATTATACTTTTTTTCCTTTCATGATATACTAAAGCTCATAGTGAAAACTGACAAAACATCACATAAGCCATGCTTTACTAGTGCTAATAGCCCCACAGTGGCACAGCGGTATATCTGCGGACTCACAACGCTATAAACCGGGTTTCGATACCCGCGTAGGGTAAAGCACAGATAGCCCATTGTGTGTAGCTTTGTGCTTAACTGCAAAGAAAAAGAACTTAGTTCTAATAAGGATCACTAATAAAAAATCTTGTAAAAAAAGAGTTTGTCAAAATTCTAATTTCTTTAGGGTTGATGACGATGGTTTGGTCTCACGGTGTTTGCTATTACAGTTTTTCAAATAATGTTTTATTACTGTTTAATTATTTTTAGTGATAGAAATGGATATATATATATATATATATTTTCAAACTAACTTCGTGAGTGGGTTTTATTTGTTTGTTTGAAGTTAAGCACAAAGCTACACAATTGGGCTATCTGTGCTCTGCCCACCATGAGTATCGAAACCCGGTTTCTAGCGTTGTAATTCCGCAGACATACCGCTGTGCCACTCGGGGGCTCGTGCATGGGCTGAGCGTGGTCTAATAGTTAGCGTGCCTGTACTGAGAATTCGTGGATTGTTTATTCAGGACCCATTGCCACAAAATCGCGTTCCGACATTTGGGGTGAAGGGTGCGATATAATAGTAACGGTCAAATCTCAATTCAATCAGACAAAATGAGCCCCAAAAATTAGTGGTAGGTGCTGTTGAATAGCCAGATGTATGTAAATAATGATTAATATAATTAGTGGTAGGTGCTGTTGAATAGCCAGATGTATGTAAATAATGATTAATATAATTAGTGGTAGGTGCTGTTGAATAGCCAGATGTATGTAAATAATGATTAATATAATCAATACTTTTCCCATAACTGGGCCTGGCATGGTCGGATGGTTAGGACGCTCAACTCGAAATTTACGGTTTCGAATCCCCGTCCACACCAAACATGCTCGCCATTTCAGCTTTGTGAGTGTTATAATGTGACTGTCAATCCACTATTCGCTGGTAAAAGAGTAGCCCAAGAGATATCTGTGGGTACTGATGACTAGCTGTCTTCACTTCTAAATTAGGGAAGGATAG